ATATGCAGCGTACACATCTAATTGTTAGGATCACGCCCCACTAGCAGATGGAGGCGGGGGGGGGGGTGGGGCGAGCGGGCGGGGCGAGGCGGGTGGGGGGGGGAAGGGGGAGGGTGGGGGGAGGAGGACTCTAATAGCAAAAGCAGTTCACTCCATGTAACAGTCAACAATACATGTTTAACCCTCCTTCTCTGAAGGGTGCAAAGGTTATCAGACAACTTAGCTCTTGCGGCACGTCAAGTGGAAAGCCAGATTTCATGGTCCTTTTCAATAAGCCATAAAAATGAATAGGTCACCGCTGAACAAAAAGTTTTCAATCGCTCCGCTCAGAGACCATGTCCTCAGAAAAATGTCTAAATCTGCCCTGCTGCGCCCATTGACCTTCTGACGCTGTGAAAACTCAATGCTCACACAGTGATGGCTTTTCCTAGCCAGTGATGCTATACTCCACAACTATCACGAGGACTGAGGTCGAACGATTTAGATTTGTGCGCGCATTCTGGCATTTTCCTCCTCCTAATACCTTAAGTTAATGGATGGAATGTTCCCCTTTATTTACAGCTTCTTGACCTTTGACCCTTTGACCCCGCAGCTTCACACATCCCAAAGCTCGTTTTCGATTACCCGCCCAGGTCCGAACTATCGTGACTGTACGTCGAGCCGTTGTAGATTTGTGCTCAACTTCGTGACGACGCACGCGACGCACGCACCGGCGACATCAGCGATTCTACATGCTGCATCTGACTTTAGCAGATAAGCTAAAAATAGAATAATTTAACAACAATAATAACAATAATACTAATAATAATAATAACAATAACAATAATAATAATAATAAACTAAGCTGCCAAGAGTACCTCCAGCTGCGTCGATCGCTCAGTCTTGTCAACGAGTGAGTTACTACGCTCAGAGATCGCCGATACTTCTTCCGTCAGGTCAGTGAACTGACGGTTGGGAGCCACTCCAGCTGGCGACTGCGCGGACGCTGTCTCTAGCGCCCTCTGTAGGGCACGGATCTTGAACGACGACATGTCCTAGCGACGCAAAATTCAAGTCGGTCATAGGCTAGAATTCGCCGCCAGAGAACACAAAACGCTCGTGCGGCGTGGACTAGCGAGTCTGGTTGTCTCGGTGGGTTTATACTATTTAAACACGTTCTGTTCTTCGGGAAATGAAAATTTGTGAATGCGCAATAAATGCGCACACACTACATGCCACACAGGCGACACACATGTGAACATCGCACGCACGCATACCACCCAATTGTTGTCTATGATCGTATTGATATTGTATATGCCTCGTACTCCATCTCACGTGCATCAGGAATCTACGCTCGCCTAACACCCCGTCCCTACGTCCGCGCGCCCCTTCCCCTGACCTCTGACCCCACCCTACCCCCCACCTCACCTTGTGCCGCTGCAGGTATCCGAGGCGCTCTGCGATTGCCGTCTCCATAGCGACGGCGTCGGCACGCAGGCGGGCGTTCTCGCGGCACGCCGCCCGCTCGGCCTCGACGATCGCGTGACGTGTAGCCGGGCGCGCCATGACGCCTCGTGTCGCTCGCAGCACGGCGCCGCGCCGCTCGCTCGCCGCAGCCGCCGCCGCGGTCTCCCCCCCGCCCGCGTCGTCGCACGCGAGCGTGTCGAGCAGCCGGTCGAACTCGCGAAGCCGCGCGGCGTCCGCCTCCGCCCGCTCATCCTGCCGCTGCTGCTCCGACGCCGACGCGCTCCTGTAACCACGGCGACGTGCGAGAATGCGTCAACGGGATGAGCGGACCGTTAGCGTTGGGGTCAGGGTTAGGATTAGGGTTATGCATAGGGTTAGGGTTAGGATTGGGGTTAAGGTTAACTAAAGGCATCAACAGATAACTATGAACAACTACGGACATCTACAAACAACTACGAACAACTACAGACAAATACGGACAACTACAAACAACTACAAACAACTACGAACAACTACAGACAACTACGAACAACTACAGACAACTACGAACAACTACAGACAACTACAAACAACTAAAGACAACTACAAACAACTACTGACATCTACAGACAACTATGAACAACTACTGACATCTACAAACAACTACGAACAACTACAGACATCTACAGACAACTATGGACAATTACGGAACGTAAAGCAACGTAGACACAGTCTACACCTTTCCCTGACAACAAAACCACCGATCAACACAGAACATTTATAATCAACCGCACATGGTGCGCACCTTTCCTTATCCCAATCCTCCTTGGCTTGTAAATGCTCTTTGTAAAGAAGCCCCTGCTGATGGCGGACAACTGCCAGCTTACGTCGGTAACTCTCGAGCATGTCCTCCTGCTTAGAGACGAGCTCGTCCCTCTTAGACAGCTCCTACGCGGCAGAGAAACGAAGCTCACGATAATCGTAAATATAACTTCGCCGACAATTTATCGATCATGAGTCAGATGCGTAGTTAAGACATGGGGAGGGATCGTCACGCGAAGTTCATGCTGCCGCGTTACAGTCACGAGAACGAATAAACTGGGGCGGAATTATCGTCACATTCTAAATTCTCACTCACTTAGAGGGTTTGAACTGCTGTTCGTTTCAATTTTGAAAAACGTGATGGTCAGAACCACAATGAAGTTTAAACTATAAATCTATTAATTATACACTATAGACACATAAATATGATGCTTACGTGTAGTGTGTGTATGAGGTGCTCATTCTGACTGCTGATGATGTATGCACTGGACTGGGCAAGATCATCTGGAAGTCGGTGCAGCCTCCCTGCCCCACCACTCTCGCGCAAGAGATGCAATTCCGCCTCTAGTTCAGACACCTGAAATAGCAAGAGGCAATAACTCCGCCAGGTGGCGCTGCTCGGCGGCGGCGCGGCGCTCGCGCTCCGCTCGGTCCCGCTCCTCAACGAGCGCGAGCAGGGTGAGCGAGAATCGCTCCTGCTTGTCGAGCGGGACGGCGCCGGCGTAGCTCCGCCGGACGTCGTGCAAGGTCACCTTGAGGTAGGCGACCTTGCTGCGCGACTCCTGGCCGAGGTGGAAGAGCCTCTGGTCCTTCTCGTCCAGCCTCTGCTCTAGCCTACGAGGAAAAGTACGGTATAATAATAATATAATATGATACGATATGATATAATATAATACACACACGCACGCACGCACGCACACACATGCACGCACGCACGCACGCACATGCACACACGCACGCACGCACGCACATGCACGCACGCACGCACGCACATGCACACACGCACGCATCCAAATATAACCAAGACTTTAGTTTTGGTAACGATGTTGACACACGTACCTGAGTATCTGTGCAGTAAGCTTGCTAACTTGATTAGTTGATTTCTCGAGCTTACGTACAGCTAGGCCTTCACTGACCTGCAGAGCCACCAGCTGATGATGCAGCTTGCCTGTTAATCACACACAAACACACACAACATTATCATTATTATTATTAGTATTATTATTATTGAATCTTTACTGCATATAATATAAAATCAAGGTAAATGTAATGAATACAGCCTTTTTTATCAAGAAAAATTCTGATAGATGCAATAGTATGCAAAGCTGTTATATACTATAATTCTCAAGTCACACAATACAATAGTATGAGGTATTTAGACAATAATAAGAATAATACAATACTATTAAAACTCAGGTCAAAGGATATAAACATATACGTAATTCATAAAATATAGCATTTCTACACGAACTAAAGTAAAGCCAATTGACATTTGTGTAATTTTACTTTCACGGTTTCAGTTATTTGCGAATGGCTGGAAAAGCCACGACTTACCGATCACTGTCTTCTCATCGCTCTGCACCTGTATGTCCAGCAGCTGTTGCCGTAACGACGTCACCTCTTTCTCTCGCGACGTCTGCATTGCTTCGGTCGCCTGCCGTTGAAATGTCGCGATCTCTGCTACTTCCTGTCAGCGGGCATGAAATGCGATCGTCAGATCAAACAAGGGGGAGCATATACATCTTACCAGCTCTATATTATTTAGCTTCTGATAAATGTCACCAACACCAGTTAGAAGTAGCAGAACTATGCTGAGATACAGGCAAAATATATGTTTATTCTAATGTGTGCAATGTAGAGAAAGAGGAGTCTGGAGCATATTGTCACTGGACCTCCTTAGATCACAGATGTTAACTAAGCCGCCATGCAACTACAGAAATATGGGCTTTAACACGACAGTTTTTGCCATGTATAACCAATTTGTTCAGCCTAAGCAGGTAGGTAATGGAAAATATTTACAAATCATATGCAAGCGAATAAAATTTACATACCAAAGTAGTAAAACAATACGTTTTGTTTTCTTGAACATTGTTTCGAAATGACTTGATGGATATCCAAAATGTAACCAAATCAAACCAATATAGGTACAAGCCAAAAATTCGGGCTTTTCTCCTAGTGAAAGATTTTCAGCTCTGTTTTACTCACTCTCAGTTTTGACATCTCTACACGTAGAGAGGCCTCAGTCGTCTCCAGCTCAGCCAGCTTGCTTTTGTCAGCATCGCTGGCTGCCTTGGTTACGCATCCCTCCAGCTCGTCTCTCAGCTTCCGCTCAAGCTTCTGCGCCTCCACGTTCATTTTCGCAACCTGTTTGAGAAGAGAGGAAACATCAAATCGACACGATACGCCGGGCCCGTAAGTCGTGTAAATTCGGCAGGATCCAACTGAAGAACCGCCAGGAACGGCGGCCATAAAAAATCGTTTATATCTTCAATTTGCCATTAAAATAATACGCCATTTTAATAATTTTGCCACGTAAAAAAAACTTTAGATTATAAGAAACAACTGTAACACACTCAGCACGCAGTTAGTTCATAAACATTAATATTTAAATATTAGGAGGAAACATCGCAGAACACATCCGCCCCCTGTGACGCCCCCGCGAGCGAGCATACTAGCGCGCCTCCCATCGCCGCGGCAACCGCGTACCGCCGCAAACTTCTCCTCGAGCTCGACGTTTCGATCCTCCAGGTGGCGCAGGTTCTGCTTCTGGCGCTCATAGGTGGCGCCGGCATGGTCAGCGCGCTGCCGCTCGTTCAGCTCCTTCATCTCGACGACGGCGAGCTGCTTGGCTAGCGACGCGGTTGCCTCGTCCGACGTCGCCCGTGCCACGCCCTCCCTCCCTGCAGCAGACACACACGCACGCTTTTGTTCAAGGAAAATCACTCGTCCTTTACAGGCAGGTGCTATGGAAGTAGCTACACTATGTAACTTGCACTGAAGAGAAATGCCTAAAGTGTCCTTAGACAGGTGACCGATCTATAAAAGGTTTGACCAAGATAATATAATCGTTGGCGCAGGTTCATATTTACATGTACATATTACATATTTTCGATTTTCAATGTATGAAAATGATAGCTCTTTATGCACAAATGCCATTTCAATAATAAGGTGTAATCTTTCTAATGTGATTTTTGCATAAATACAGCTGTACAAAGTGTACCAAGTGCCCCCCCCCCCATTTACCCGACCATGTATGATAGGCATTTACAATTTCTAATGAATTTCAAAAATACTACAATATCAATATCAAAGTATAGGTGATGAAACATTTTACTGCAATCTAAAGCTGCCTAGTGCAAATATGTAGGGCTAATGTAGTCATATTGAGCAGTCAAATGTCAGTGAAATATGATTGAGTAACGAGATTCAGATGTGTCATGCGTTGAGCAGAGTAGCAACATGTAGGGTGCCATACCCTGCTCTGAAAGCTTCTCCACTGCAGCTTCATATGCATGTCTCCTCTCCTTCTCCGTCTCCAGCTCCTTCTTCAGAGCACAGCTATCTTCTTGCAGTTGGGCCAACTCAGCCTGATGTGAGGCAGTACGTACGTGTTTGTACAACAGCAATTATGTAAGCTTGAGCATGAATTCCAATTACATAAACTATATTGGAAATAAAACGGCACTCGAATTTTGCATACATAAAAATGCTGTGCAACTTACAGCTCTAAGATTAAAACTATACTTGCGCGTCAGTGCTGACACAGATTCGTGCAACACTAATAAAAAAAATCTCACCCCGAACCCAACTCTCAACAACAAGTTTACTTTGAAATTAATTTGATAATAAATAAAAATAACATAAACAACTAAAAAACTGACAGTGAATAAAATAAAATACAGCTCTTACACAAATAATAAAATCTTAAAACAAGAGCCGCAGAGCGTCTGGGCTCATCTGAGGTCTGTTGCTACGATTATAAACGTAAAATTTCAGTCGTGCGTATACACATTTGTTTGCGGCAGATATGCAGACACGCAGTTGCGTACACATCATTGTTAGGACACGCCACTATCGCAGATGGAGGGCCGGGGAAGGGGTGGGGGAGGCGGGGGAGGGTGGGGGGGGGAAGGGGGAGGGTGGGGGGAGGAGCTGCTAATAGCAAAAGCAGTTCACTCCATTGTTAACAGTCAACAATCCATGTTTAACCCTCCTCTCTGAGGGTCAAAAGGTTATCAGACACTTACTCTTGCGGCACGTCAGTGGAAAGCAGATTTCATGGTCCTTTCAATAAGCCATAAAAATGATAGGTCACCGCTGAACAAAAAAAGTTTTTCAATCGCTCCGTCAGACGCATGTCCTCAGAAAATGTCTAAAATCTGCCCTGTGACCCATTGACCTTTGACGCTGTGACTCCAATTTCACACAGTGATGGCTTTTCCTACCGTGATGCTATACACACTATCGAGGCCTAGGTCGAGACGTTTAGATTTTGTGCGCGCATATTCTGGCATTTCCTCCCTATACCTTAAGTTAAGGAGGATGTTCCCTTCCTTTTTACACCTCTTGACCATTTGACTTTGACCCCCAGCTCACATCCAACTCGTTTTCGATTACCCCCACGTCCGAATATCGTGACGTACATCGAGCCGTTTAGATTTGTGCCAACTGTTGACGGACGCACGGAGCACGCACGGCGAATCAAGCGATTCTACAAGCTGGCATCTGACTATGTCAGATGAGCTAAAAAAGAATAATTTAACAACAATAATAACAATAACATAATACTAATAATAATAAATAACAATACTAAATAATAATAAACTAAGCTGCCAAGAGTACCTCCAGCTGCGTCGATCGCTCAGTCTTGTCAACGAGTGAGTTACTACGCTGCAGAAGATCGCGATACTTCTCCGTCAGGTCAGTGAACTGACGGTTGGCCACCTCCAGCTGCGACTGCGGGACGCTGTCCTCTAGCGCCCTCTGTAGGGCACGGATCTTGAACGACGACATGTCCTAGCGACGCAAAATTCAGTCGGTTATAGCTTGAATTCGCCGCAGAGAACACAAAACGCTCGTGCGGTGACTAGCGAGTCTGGTTGTCTCGCGTGGGTTTATACTATTTAAACACGTTCTGTTCTTCGGGAAATGAGAAATTTGTTGAATGCCAATAAACGCGCACACACCTACATGCACACAGGCACACACATGTGAACACGCACGCACGCATACACGCACGCTAATTTCCATGATTGTATTGTATTGTATTGCCTCGGTAGTTCATCTGCACGTGATCAGGAATCTACGCTTCGCGTAACACCCCCGTCCCTCGTCGCGCACACCGCTTCCCTGACCTGACGGCCACCGCACCTCCCCACCTCACCGTTGTGCCGCTGGCAGTAATCCGAGGGCTCTGTGATTGCCGTCCATAGCCACGGGTCGGCGCGCAGGCGGCGTTGTCTCGGGCCACGCCGCCCGCTCGCCCGAGATTCGACTGTTAGTAGCGGCGCGCCCTGCCGGCCTGGTCGCTCGCAGGACCGCGCGCCCGCGTGCCTCGCCGAGCCGCGCCCGCCGCCCGCCGCGTCGCTCGCACTGCGCGGCGTGCCATCGAGTCAAGGACGGTCGAACCGCGAGAGCCCGCCGGCGTCCGCCTGCCGCAGCTCAACTGCTGCCGCTGTCTGCTCCGAGGACGACGCGCTCCTGTAACACAGGCGACGTGCGAGAAGCGTTAACGGTGAGCGGACCGTTTAGCGTTGGGGTCAGGGTAGGATGTAGGGTTATGCAATAGGGTTAGGGTTAGATTGGGTTAAGGTTAACAAGCTCAGACAGATAACTATGAAACAACTAACGGACATCACAGCAAACAACTACGAACATAAAGACAAAATTACGGGCAAATACAGACACACTACCAACAACTACTGACATCTACAGACAAGCTACATACATACGACAAACAAATGACGACATCTACGAAACTAATGAACAACTACTGACATCTACAAACAACTCGAACAACTACAGACATCTACAGACAACTATCGACAATTACGGAAGCGTAAGCAACGTAGACACAGTCTACCGTTTCCCTATCAAGAAACGTACCGATCGACACAGAAGCTTTATAATCGACCGGGCACAGTAGCACTTTCCTTATCCAATCCTCCATTGGCCTGTAAATGCTGCTGTGTAAAGAGCTCCTGCTGATGGGACAAACTGCAGTCTTAACGTCGGTAACCTCGAGCATGTTCTCCTAGCTTAGTAGACGAGCTCGTCCCTCTAGACAAGCTCCTACGCGGCGGAGTATACGAACTCTCAGATAGCGTAAAATATAACACTTCGCGCGACAATTTTTTATATCAGGATCATGAGTAGATGGCGAGTTAAACATGAGGAGGGATAGTGACGCGAAGTTGTTGTGCGCGTTAGCAGTCACGCAGACAGAATAATACCTGGGGGCGATTATCAGCCAATTCTAGATTCTACTCGACTAGGGTTTGAACTGCCTGTTCGTTTCAATTTGGCCTGAAGCCTGATGGTCAGAAACCACAATGAAGTTTAACTATAAATCTATTAATATATACTACTATGAGACCATAAAATGATGCTCACAGTGTAAGGGTGTGTATGAGGTGGGCTCATTTCTGACTGCTGATGGATGTATGCGCTGGACTGGGCAAGATCATCTAGGAAGTCGGTGCAGCCTCCTGCCCCCACCACTCTCGCGCAAAGAGATGCAATTCCGCCTCTAGTTCAGACACCTGAAATAGCAAGAGGCAATAGTTGGGCGTCTACCCCGGGCAATAGTTGGGTGCCTACCACGGGCAATAGTTGGGTGCCTACCACGGGCAATAGTTGGGTGCCTACCACGGGCAATAGTTGGGTGCCTACCACGGGCAATAGTTGGGTGCATCACAGCACACATGTGCCACAATTAGTGCTACAAGCACTTCAGAATAATCAAATTGATAGCTACGTCAAAAGATTAAACAGGGTGCTTGTAGAGTGAGAGCATGACACAATATCATCTCAGCTCAGACGTCCTAAGATTGTCTATTGTCATTAGCCGCGACTAGTCCTGTCTGTGAGTGTTAGGGCCTTAATTTGCCACGTCAATCGACCTCCTTACTTGCCACGGTACCCCTGAAAGCTGGACTACATCTACGGCAAATGACTCCGTCCCTTACCCACAAATTGCATGTTGGATGTGTATCTCTCCTGCGATAAATTTAATAAATATTCTTATTCACAACATGTTTTATGTGTGGGACCATGGTCCCACACATAAAACATGTTGTGAATAAGAAAGTTACCCCAAAAACAAATTTTTGGCAGGGAACGTTTGCCTTCGTGGGCCAATCTGTCTAACTTACCGCGGTGCCATAAAATGACTGATTAACCCCAAGGCAACACTTGCCACGCCCTAATAAAAATAAAAGTAATTCGACACCCAGGTGCTTGCTTACCCTCTGCTTGCTCTGCTGCTCGACGGTGGCGCCCCTGGTGGCGTCCGCACGCGCCAGCCTCAGCTCGGACCGGAGTTCGTCGCAGCGTCCCTGTAGATGGTCGACCTGTGCTTTCATATACACGCCAGCGTCCACCCTGCCCGTCACCGCGCGTGACTCCATCACCTACACATGAAACACACACACACACACACCGGCTATTAGACAACAAACAGACGGCAGTCATGGGTAACACTAGGCGGTCACACGGTCCATTCTCCAGAACCCCTAGATACAAGCATAGTACAATATCTGCACTTCGAATCGTACCTGCCAACCAACATTCAGTAAATGAACTCTCACCTCAGGTAAGTTTTACTGCCTGACAAACAGTACACAGGTGGATATATTTTCAGTATATTAAATTACTATCATTGGTAAAATGTTGACACAATAGACGTGCTCACTGTCTAGGGTGTTCGTGGACCAAACATAACAATTGCGCATTTTTCAGGATTTTCTAGGCTTGGAAATGTTATCTTAAAATTCCAGGCCATTCCAGGTTTTTCAAGACCACAAGATCTATGTAGGACGTTGTTCTCTGTACAAGACTGTTGTAGACAATGAAGCACTCAGTAGTAGAGGCGTCAACTTCATAACGGATTGTTTCAATATATCCAAGAGTAAAAAGCCTATAGTCAAGAGGCCTACTAGTCATGAAGCCTAAGCTTACGTAAAATGCCTAACTGGCACGCATACGACGTAGACAGGGTTTCTTATACATAAGAGGCACAATGGCGCACCGCCGTTGTCAAATTTAACATCGCCGTTGTGAAAATGTTCCTGTATTTACTGATAAGTATATCCTATATCTATATAAGTATATCAATACATCCTGTATTTGAATCAATCATGTGCGTATTTTTCCCAAACTGGTTATTACCTCCTTTGTCTAATTTTCCCTCAGAAGAAACCCTGATAGACATAGATATATATATGACGAACATTCCGAAACAGTCGTGCACGCCGCAAAAATTGAGACCGTGGATTTATGCGACAAACACAGTCAGACATCGGCTAACGTGACCCGAGACGAATCGTTAAAGCTAGTCGCAACCAGATGTCACACTGAATGTAAGGTGATGACAGTCGCCTGTACCATCGCGTGTGTTACGGGCTAGTGTGTGACCACTGGCGAATCTAAAGAATAGGCCACACGCGACAAGCACCAGCGAACGGGTGTGGGCTAGTGCTGTAAGCACACCTCACACGAGCAGTCCAGTCACACAGTTCTGTGACGCAGACGGGATTTTCCAGCCACAATCCAAAACCACAATTAAAATATAGATTAAAATGTAGAGGGGGACATGGCTGTAACACCCCCCCCCACACACACACACTGTAGGAAACTTACGCTGAGATATTTCTCCAGGCTGGGACAGCGGACTGTTAACGCAGTGCCATCCGCCATCTTCTCATTCGCTTTGAGATCTTCCAAGATTTCCATCATCCCCTGCTCCAGACTCCTGCGTAAAAAAGTCGTGTTACATGCTACACAGCTAGCTAAGAAGTGATTATGAATGATACGATAAGTATGAAATAATGGAAATCGCTATAAACTAATTTACCATCAAAGTGGTAAATTAATCATGAGTTACATGTAATATCAAGTAAAATAATCAAGTAATATGCGATGTATTGATCAGGTGATCAGGATCGGGTAAAATAGTGGGAAATGGAATTTCGTGTAAACGACACGTTGTGCATCACGTAATGTTTAAAAATTGTCATGTCAAGTGTCACATATATAATGTAATGCAATGTAATTTAGTGTAATGTAATGTAATGTGTAAGTGTAATGTGATGTAAATGTGTATTTAATGTAATGTAATATAATGTATTGAAATGTAATTTGATGTGATGTAAAGTAATGTAATGCAATGTAATGTAATGTAATGGAATAGAATTTAATGTAATGTAACATTAATGTGTATATAATGTAATCCATGACGAATCCGATCACCCGACACTGGGAAATGGAATTTCGTACGAGCAACGCATTCGTACTTGTTCTCCTGCTGTAGCTCGCTGATAATGGCTTGCTGAGCGGAGCTGGTTCCTTTGACAACTTCTAGGCTCTTGGTGAGTTTCTCCATGTCTCTCTCTCGTTGTTTCGACTGAAGGGAAAGACACAACCTTAGCATCAGCATGATGAATCACGGCGGTTACGCAGCTGTAGCTCGCGACTGCAGGTCGAAGCTCACTAATATGTGATACGATGCTTCAACAGTTTCTATGCCTCAGAACCACGATTTGAATAATTTGCCATGCAGTCATTAGGTTTTATTTTATCTGATAATTTACATGCTTTTGTGTCACAGTACAGTAAACATGTGCCATAGTATAGTAGACTTGTGTCATAGAACTAACACTTTGTCATAAAAAGCTCCAGTTCTACCAGGGCTAGGTTTATGTTTGTGTAAGTTGTATTGTTCTTAGTGGTAAGAATTAAGTATATATGCATTATTTTGCCTTTTTTAATGACAGCTTCGATGGTTCGAAATTTTCAAAGATCTCCTACAGGCAGTTGTACCTTACCTTAGAGACGTTACCTACCTTCACCATGAAATAACAGTACTGCTAGTTTCTATTCTACTATTTCTAGTACTACTCATTTCACAGGTTCCCAACCATTCCACATCCATTAGAGCTTCTGCCATTGCCAGTCTCCGATTCTCCTTAACAGCCACACGTATCGCACCTGCTGTTTCAACTGATCCGACTCGACATCTCTCTTGATGGTTTCTGCCTGCGAGAAACGAAGTGTAGAAGGCTGCGACTGTGCGGTCGACTCTCTCACACCCGTTTCTCTTCCCCTCAGCGATATGGCGAGAGCGTCTGCAGACACACCCAGCTCTGAGGCCCTGCAACATCGCGCACACCAACATTACAAGTCAGAATAAGGAAGTCAGAACAACGGTACAAGGCAGACAGCCGAATGCGGCTCACCGATACTACTGGTCAAAGCAGCCCAAGTACGCGTGGGTAAATACTGTTACAGTTTACAGCAGAGTAACACCGGATGTTTAGTGTTGCTTCGCTTTCATCATTTACGTTACATTACGTCCGTTTTAATGTTTATTGTCGCTGGACGATCAAAGGCATTGTTTCGTCGGGTTTACCGTTTGCCGGCGAGTTGTGAGAGTTGTCTGATGTGCTTCTTCAACTCTAGTCGCTCCTCCTCCAGATTCTCCACCTGCGAACCAACAACAACCACGCATTTAAAAAAAGCAATCAGGGTTCGTGCAGCCAAGGCTAAATTATTTTATGAGACCCAGAGATGAGAGATTTACTTTTACTTTACTTTTCAAAGACCCAGACGCTCCATCTTCCGGGACTGTGAGATTTAAGCGGGAACTTTCTAACGCATAACATCCAGTCTGCGAATAACAAACAGACCCTGGCTTCTCGCCTACGCAAATTTGACTGCCTCTCAGACAGTAAACACGGCTCCACCTTCACAAACTCTAACTGTTGGTTATACTAACAAGTATCAAGCATGAGAACAAGTTGAGATGTTTTTGGAGGAAATATTCATTGAATTGTCATTTTCTATGAACCATTGTCACCAAGTTTCAGTACGCATGAGAATAGGGTAAAACACTTTACATTACATAGATACCCAGCAATATTTATCTGGAGTTCCGTCACTTCTGTGTGAAATTTGACGTACTTTTCTTGACTTTTTATGAAGTTAAGATTAAATATGGTGCCCATTTTGAACAGAAAAGTACACCTTATCCAGGGGTGCACTGGAACTTGGATCCGGCCAGATCCCCAATTTTTGAGAGTTCCGGTTCCTGCCGGAACCCTTCAGAAACAGTTGGCCAGAACCGGAACTTTTTCCTAATTTCATTTCTGCTACAAGAGTCATCAAGATCAAAAGATCAGTCACTGAATATAGTTGAGTCAATAGAGTCAACTTGCTGACAATATAGTATTAACAACTTCATACTATTCTGCCCAAAAAAAGCTTGCCATTTGAACATTGGCTAACTAACTGAACTGAACCTAACTGATCATGTTAAGTGATTCATAAGATTTTCTTTCAAAAACAAATACTCTTAGAGCCACAGGAATTGCATCTGTCTGTTAGTTGAAAATAATAGACTAAACCAATACCTTGATTTACTGACTGATTTTACTAACTTACTGTAATTTGTGATAATCATTTAACTGTCTATCGTGTCTATAGCTTTTTAAGCTCATTTAACGCAATTTTTATTGAGGTTTGCACATTATTGATGGTACAAAATTTCTTTTTATTACAGGCAAGGATTCTTTCCAAAAATTCAAGGACATTTTCATGAAATTCAAGGACTTTTCAAGCACAAAATCAACATTTACTAAATTCAAGTACTTTTCAAGGACTCTCCTCAAATTCAAGGACTTTTCAAGGACTCTCCTCAAATTCAAGGACTTTTCAAGGACTGTGCAAACCATGGGTTCCAGAACTTGAAAAAGTTCTGGCTGGTTCTGGTTCTGGCCGGAACTTAAAAAGTTGGATCCGGTGCACCCCTAACCTTATCCTCCCTCATTAACCTTATTAATAAAATAATTTTTATTAGTTTTTTGCATCGATCTCAAGAATTACCAAAATAAAAACCAAAACCGGAAAATCCGCGAATCCGAGAAATATTCTCATGCCTGAAGTATATGTGAGATATAAAGTAACACCGTGTTCCTAACAACCACGTTTTTTTGCCCACATTTCCATCTACCGCGACTCGTGCCACGCGACACACGTCGGCGGAAGCGTACGTACCTCCTTCTCGAGCGTGATTATGACGGCTCTATCCTGCTGCTTCTTCATGTTGCTCGTCTCGCGGAAGGAGAGCGGCTCCGTCGGCTCCATTCCCAGCTTCTCCCGTAGGTTCTCGTTCTCCTCCCAGATGCCGTTCATCTTCAGCTCGAGTGTGTTGATGTAGCGCGTCAGCTCCTCCACCTGTGCGTCTCTCACGCCGATCTGCACCTTACCGTCTTTGATCTCGGAAACGGCTTCGGCCAATCCGTACTCGCCCTGTACGTTGATAATCATTCTCTTATTAAGGATACATTCATGGTTGTAAGTGAAATGTGGTCAAAATTTCAATACCCATTTTATTTGATAGGTGGCACCCCTGGGCAGCTATGTAATAGTAGACTATTATGTACATATAGTCTCCCAAACAGTTCAAAATCCCCGCATATGCTTACCTGGCTATTGCAAACCATGCAACGCCCCTTAAATAGTGACGCGTGTAATGAATACTGCATTAATAATAATGTGAAAGTCTCCTAAATGTTAAAGGGAAATGATCTCGTATTTAGGTGTTCTCAGGCACTCTCAGTCTAGCATTTAAATGTGCTGCAAGTTCATGCAAGTTCCAACGGACCATACGTGAAGAAACTATTAATCAGTGTTAAACTAACTATTAATCAGTGTTAAACTAACTATTAAATGTGTGCCAGCGGAGTGCTGGCATGTGCAGTGAACTAGCCAATACAAACAGTGAGTTCAAGCCTTATCAAGCACCAGTGTGTGGGATTCTGAGCCAAACTGAGAGTGCCTTAATGTCTCATCACATCGCTTTAATACCATGTACACTATCTCTGCATGTGTGATGAACTATGGTAAGATGTAGGGACATGTACGTAAGCAGATACCTGTTAACTCATATTCTGATTTCGACACATGACACGGCATAACAGATCACGATGTATTTCACGTACTTTCTATGGCAGTTGCGATTTAAATGCCTAATTATTATTATTTCCTAACTGTACCTTTCCAACTGGAACCGTTTTTAAACCTACCCACTGATTGTTTTTATACAGAATTAGAGTTTAATTGGAATTTATGCTGGGCGACTTTAGAAGCATTTGATATTTTCAGTCACATACACACCGCTTCGTATTCTCTCATTCTGTTGAGAGCCTCTGCAAGCTGTCTATCCTTAACTTTCGCATCTTCCTCCGCCTGCAATTAACCACAAGCGCCGGCATTTTAAATGCTGACTAATAATGTCAGCACAGTACAGCTTACAACATCGGATAACACAGTCACACAGCGATTAACATTACTAGATAACTAGAAATATCCAACAGTTAACTAGTGATATCAAGTTCAGTAAGCTCAAAAACTAGCTCAAAATGTAACACAACACACAACGCCACCATAATTACATCATTAAAATTTTAAATCAATAAATTCAACAATTAACTCTACCACAACCATTCCAGTGCCTTGGGAAAGCTAGCCGTAGATATAAGAAAAGATTCATGAATTTTACAGGCAACAATGCAGACGGAAGTTGACCGCGACGAGAGCGCGGCAGCCGTTCCAACCCACGTTGCCGCGGTAAACCGTACCAAGTGCACCCTGGTGTCGGCTTCCTTCAGCAGAGTCGCGTTGTACTTGATCGTAGACCGCAGCTCGAGCAACCTCTGCTGCTGGCGGTCGGATCCCGTCGTAGCCGGCCCTGCGGCACACGAAACATCGTCGCAGTCTCTCTATATACACATTGTGACTTGCGACCCTCAAAGCTTATTTCGGCCCTACTATCCAGTATCAAATATACCAACCAAATTGAACAGACGTAGGACTCTTAATAAGCTTAATAAGGACAACTTAATGTTGCTATAAATTCAGCAACATTATTCTTATGTCTGCCACATGCCGTACTCTGTAAATAACTCTGCAAGATTACGCTGTGATTTCTTGAGGAGATTGGGGCACGTAGCCACAAGATATCGGCCTGAAGAGCATGATGAAAGGCAAGATGCAGAAGCAGAGCAAGAAGAATCAGGGCGAAGGCAGTCACGACAAATAAACGAAAAAAACAACAATGATTTTGAACGGCAGGCGTAGTTTCGAAAGGTGTTCGGCGACTCGCACCTTTGCTGAGTTGTGCCTGAAGGTCGTCGATGAGGGCAGCACTAGTCTCCATGTCGGACGCCACGTGCGTCAGCTGCTGCTGAAGCGCCTCTATCTGCTTATCTTTCTCCTCCACGGCCTGAAGCAGCAAGCAGCCACACAGCACTCATTACGCGAAACGAGAGGAAAGAGGGTGTATGGCCGTCACCTTGTCATGTGGGGTGGAGAGCGAGCTGGTAGGGCGAGCCCCACGCATCCTGTTTAAACACGTATGGGTCTGGAATGGTTCGTGCTGTTAAATTCACTAAAGTGCGAAAGTAAAGTCACATACATGACGAATCGCGGAGAAGGATTACAAGGATTAGAGACAACAGCATTAGGTTGGAATGACCATCATGCTTCAGTCTCGGAGCTGGATAATCACTATGGTGCTGATAGCAGGTGCTGCGGATCGCTAGCCAGAGTGGCGCGAAAAACTGGCTCATGTCTACTGCAATAACCTGCTGTGGCTGCCCCTATCTGGTTTGCTTCTGTGCTGTTTCCATTAACTCATGTCATGTATGTGTCACCTACCCACAGTCCTACGCAGTGTTGATAAAAAGTAAGTTGTCTCGTTGCCCCCACTTTGACGGAAAGTTTTGCCACGGTGCCCTTCCAACTTAACGTGGTGCTATAAAATTTCAAATTAACAACACAATACTAAATTCGATATTCATAAAAAATAATATTTGATACTCTCCTAGAAATCAAAATTCCTCCCCAAAGTGTATGTAGACGTTCGTGGGAGGATGCGTCATCACATTGTGAGAATATGAGAAGAAGACGGTATTTGCAGCGGTGAGTAACGCAGGGGCACCTTCGTGAGCACGGCTACGGAAGCACGATCCGCATCCAGTGTGGCCAGCATCCGCTGCTCCTGAAGCTGCAGAATCAGCTTCTGGCATCCCAGCAGCTCTTCGTCTTTCTTTGCGAGAATAGCCTGGAATCGCAGATCAACTGTATGTAACAAAACTTTACACGAGCGGTCCGGAACACGGCACGAATCCAGTATGTGAAAGATTTGCAACTTCCTAAGAACACGCACCTTTTGCAAAAAGCCTGAATAGAAACACGTACCTCTTTAAATGCGACGCGAACACAGCAAGAGCGGGAGTCGACTCTCGCACGCGTCGTTTCCAAACGCCCTCGCGCGTGAGAGACATGCTCATTACTCACAGCAGCAAATCGCACACGTCACAGCCTGTGTGATCTCACGTGCGAGCGTGCATGCTCTCAGCTGCGCACGCGTGACCTTACCTGCCACTCTTCGACCTTGGCGTTGACGGCCACCATCACCTCGTCCTCGATGTCCCGCCGCGATTGCTGTTGCTGCGTGAGGTCCTCCAGCTGCGCTCGCTGTTTCTCATTATCCTTCTTGTAATGATCCAGTCCATCGTCCGACTGCTGCAGAACTGCCTGAAGAAACACAAACGCACGTCGCACGTTTATGTATTTACTTATTAAAAGATGGTACATGGATAAAAGTGAGAACATAAGCTTGCAAGCCCATGTTTATTTGCATTAATGTTTATATATTTATTTATTTGATGGTAATCTGATAAAGGTGAGAATATAAGCTTGCAAGCCCATATATTTATTTGCGTTCATGTTTATTTATTTATTGGATGGTACACTGATAAAGGTGAGAACATAAGCTTGCAAGCCCATATGTTTATTTATTTATTTGATGGAACATTGATAAAAGTTAGAACACGAGCTTGCAAGCTTGACCCCACAGCCAGTTACACCAAGCACTATGCTAGCCAAAGATAGTGATCGCGGTGCAACCTGCTGTGTCTACCTATGCAATCTATGTCTTAGTGTGACAGAATTTACTGTATTTCAAGGCAATAGAATGAGATAAAGTAGATTCATATTATCCTCACTGTGTTCGCCCATCTCCCCGGATCTCCAACTCACACCCACATTGCCTATCGGGGCCCTCCCCACACTCTTTACCATGAGTTTTAATCGCACTGGCTACACCTTCACAACCTTGAGTCTCGAGAGTAATCATCAATGGCCACGACTAGACAAGAGCATTTTTATATATTTTACGTTTCATTTGCTTGTTTTGTTTGATTTTTTGTTTTAGTGTTTCATGTTTTATTCTTACTCGAAGTTTCGTGTACTCGTCGGTCATGTTGTCCATCTGCTGCACGGCTTCTTCCAGCTTCGCTTTCATCTCCTCGCATTTCTTCTGCAGCTCGTCGTTAGCATCCGTCAGATTCTGCAACACAAGCAAGACGGCCCTGACGAACTATCTAATATAACCACGTATGGTTTCTCAAATTTTTTTATTTCTACCATAGTAAAGTACTATGAAAATTAACCAGTCCTGCTCAAAATCTACCAGTGGTGGACAGAGGGGGGAGGGTGTTATTTCCAACACTATGCACAAGCACAGCTGTCAGCTGTAACTACCACCACTACTTAATGTAATACTAATCTGAGAGCGAGGTAGTGGAGGAGAGTGGGTAATGAATGTTAACTATGTCAAGCACAATGTCAATTTATGTAGTGGTACACTAATGTAAACACAATGTTAATGTACACTAATGCTAAGCACAATGTATTTACATGTAAAAGTACACTAATGCCAACACAATTAACTTATGTAGTGCTACACTAATGTGAAACTTAATGGTACACACTAATGTAACACAATGTAATTTAATGTAATGTACACTAATGCAACACAATGTAACTTAATGTAATGTACACTAATGCAACACAATGTAATTTAATGTAATGTAGTGTACGCTAATGTAACACAATGTACTTTAATGTGATGTAATGTAATGTACACTGATGACTACGTTACGTTGATTTCATCCAGCGCATCGTTCAGCTCCTTGTTCTTGTAGCGGATGACGGAGCGATAGTCGCTGCCCTCGTCGCGCTTGCTCAGCTTGCTGTCTCGCTGCAGCTCAAGCTGTCTCTGCAGCTCGCGTGTGTCGTCCTGAGACTGTTCGTACTGCGCAACGAGAGAGACACCGAGACGTCGCGCTTAAGACTTCATCACATAGATATTATAACACATACCCCAGATATGATCTTTCCCGATCAGAATTGTGTTGGCTGATCATCGACGACAATGACGATGAAATTAAAACAACGGCAGTTTGGAATAGTCATTTTTAAACCGTGCAGTTAATCTTCAATTGTGATGGACTTCAGGTAAATATTCGTAAATCTACTCATAATCAGCATGAACTGCGGCTAATCGAAACGTGCCCGTTACGATTCACGGAAGCTTATATCTGCTATGTGATTGAATACTAGTTGTGGTGAGAGTCCAGTAAAAATCTGCATAGATTCATTGACAATCAGCATGAAGTGAGGCTGAAGCAAACAAGCCAGTAAACATTCACGGATGCTCATTCACGTGCCATTTATGTCCAGATACGTACCAGTTGCTTGACTTCGATCAGTTCTTTTTCGGCATGTTCTGCTTTTGACACATACTGCATGTGAGAAATAGCAAGGGAGAACAATGTTAACATATGTTTAACATGTACTTAAAATATATATTTAATTCAATATACTTAATTTAATAAATTATTAATTTTCATGACATACTTACGTAACTGTTATTCACCAATTGAACATTACAGAGCTTACTCAGTTACATCCCTCATGCACTCAATGCAACTTGTGCCCTCAACTCTAAAACATGCTGGCCAGCTGACATACTTCACGGCACAGGCCACTGCACACACCGTGCGTAGCAGAGTATTAACTAGCACGCCATATCGCCATCATCTCGACATAGCTTCATACTAGACAGTCGATTTCACTGCCCAAGGCACTAATCTCAGTGAATAAATAACATATGCACGATTTTTCTACGGCACAAACACGTTCCAGTCGTTTGAGACTCGACTAGACTCTCGATCATGGCCGATACTCTGGCGTGTAGATGTACCTGCTCGGCCATGCGCTTCTCAGCATTCAGCTCCCTCTGCATGTCCTGCAGCTCCTGCGTGAGCAGACTGTTGCTGCGCTCAGCTTCCCGGATCTCGTTCCTCAGCGCCCGCACGTCTTCCGTTCCCCCAGTGCCACTCCCCTCCAGCCGCTAACGACGACGATGACAACGACGACGATGGCGGAGGCGACACGTCACGTTCGGGGTTGGAATAAAACCCGTTGTTTGTTTTTGAAAAGGAAAAACAAAGAACCGATATTTGAAACCTGCCTTTTCCTTTACTTCTGTTGTTGTTTAATACTGACATACAATATGGTTGAGGTTTTACCAGTTAACCTGTAGGATTGAGATAGTGAGAATTGTACCAGTTTGACACAAATCAACAGTAGCTAGGGTTTGATAACCTTCATCCAATATAACAATAATCACAACTTTATAAGTAAATGGTAGCTTGATGTTTTACTACAGATGAAATGTGGCTTATTCACATGTTTAATTACAGGTAAATTCTGGTTTACCTTAATGTTTCGCTAGAAGTAAATAGTGGCTTACTCCAATGAGTCACTGCTGGTAAATGCTCACATACCCTAATGTTTCACTATGCGTAAATGGTGGCTTACCCCAATTTATGACTATAAGTAAATGGTAGCTTACCATAACGCACCCCTTACACGTACTAGGCTAGCCTACTCACCCGGATATCCCGTTTTAGCTCAGTGACTTCACTGACAAGCTCCTGCTCTCTCTGTGCAGTGGCTTTGCCCTGATTTTCGGCCATCTTGTCAAGTTCTTCCAGGTATATCTGCGCCTCGCCCCCCTTCACCTGTGGTGATGATACACACAGTCAAAGATGGAACCCGATTAGCACGTGACAGTGTACATGCATACATATATAAGTTTAACACAAGAGAATGAAAACAAACGTTTTTGTTCACTTCTGATTTAAACAATATATGACTCTCTGTAGTTGCAATCTTGTCTTCTAACTTGTAGAATGTCTTGTTGAAATTGTCTTCCAAGATGTAAAAATACATCTAATGGTTAGAACTGGAGCTTCGCTACAGTATGCTTCCAAGAAACTCACTGAATTTAGAATGTGTACGAACGAGGACAAAAACTGATAACCAAAAGAAAAATACCGATAATTTTCTTCTTTGTAGCATTTACGTTCTCTAGGTAGTCACGTAGACCACCGACTATAAATACCATGAATTTACTAAGCCATTTATTTAAAGACTGTTCACAGCTCTTGTACGCTAGTGATAATGTCTCTAGTAATATAATTGAATATATACCTCTAACACCCTCTGTGTGAGCTTGAAAAGCTGCTGCAGCTTACTGATCTCAGTCTCACCAGCCAACTCAAACTGAAAGAGAGAGTACAAAGCGCACAAAAATCATGGGTAACATCCACTTCCTTATTAAAGGGATCCTTTACTCTAGGTTCAACTTCTAGGGTTATTTTCAGTTAATTTAGGTTAATATTACGCTACATAAAAAGTTTCATGGTTCAATCACCATTAGAATTTTTTTTTCTCCACGTTTTAAAACCAACGACTACAGTTTGATTACAATGACGGTGGCGCCACTCAAAGCGCACGATCTGAAAAGTTGCGCAAAACTACTTTTCAGCCAAGGGCTACAGACCGAGGGTGTTTCTTATTTATTAATTTAAAAGCAAAAAGATTGTAATATCTTATAAACGACATATAGTTTCAGTTATATTATGGATAAATTTGTCCTAAAATGAACATCGTTTGGTTAAATAGCATTTAGGTATAAATATAATTGCACCTTTGTGATTAGCCTTCGGTCTGTAAAGTGCAAAACATATTGGGAAATTCGCAACTTTTTCAGGGTGGCAGCACGGTCGCGGGTGTCAATGGCGCCGTTCAAATTTCGTAGTGTTGATGTATAATTTATTATAACAATGAATTAAATTAGGTATCTGGTAACAAGTACGTGTGGGTATAGACGATTTGTTATACAGTAAGTACAGATGTATGCAGTAAAATCCTAGTCTAGTATCCCTTTAAATTTATTATCATATAAGGTTTGAATTATGTGATTGATATTTCCCATGTGTGAACCCTTTAGACAACTGTGGTCACATTCTCATCGTCCCTATACCTGTGTTAGTGGAGAGTAAAGCTTGTCAGCTTCCGCTTCATCCAGGTCAGATGGCTCGATCGCTAGTATCCGATCCCAGTCAAGTGGCGCCATCTTTTTTTACACAGTAGTCACAATGCTTCCGTAGCTGTTAAGAGTCCACCACCGTACAAACTAAAATGGGCAATTGACTTTGTCATAATTGAAGACGTATGAGTGAAAAAGCTAGACTAATTCTTTCATTTTTTTGAAAAATATGAACCGGTCAGGTGCTATTAAATGTCACCGTCTGGCATACACAGTTCATGTTTACACCATAAATGAGAATTACACAATATACTCCAGCTGTACTCGTTATTATGTTTACATAATAATTATTCTGTTCAAATCACCAACATGAAGCTACATAGGTTTGCTATTACCATATATATATATTGAATTTGTATGTAATTACCTTATTGTGGTTTTATGTATGTGACAGAATTATGTAGTCCTCTCATCATTAGATGTTTTCTATAGGTATTTCAACTGAGCCTCTGAATGTGATCCTATAAATGTAGACATAAAAGTATATATATACCTGTTATATTATCTGTACATATTTGCTCATATAGGCATGTCAAATCACTAATAACGCAGACTAACACTGAACAATTGCGATTTATAAAAAAATCATAATCAACATCAAACAGAATAAGGCACCTTTATTGGTTTACCAATGCGAGTTTACTTATTATAGTGACCAGGCCTATATTGAGGTCACCTGGTGATTTTAATATCAATGACTTATGACTTATAAAACTATTTGTTGGAAATGTTTGCCTTGCTGTACTCTACTACTGGGTAGTAGGACATTGCAAGCTAAAACAATCACCAAAAATTTAACAGAGAAGGAAAAAAGCTCTGTAAATTCTGTAAATTTTACGAAATTAGGAGTTTGTTTTCAAGCTACCAGGTATTTCCTATGGAAGGGTGTCAGGCTCCTCCGCCGTGTAACTAGTCGGAGAGCCTGGTCGGTTTACGTTAGCATATGTTGGGGGGGGGACTTGATCCTGCTGCCAGTGACTATTACTATCAGGGGTTGCAAACTTTGATGACCTACGTGTTTTTTCCCACTCCTTTGCCGTATTTGTTAATTATATACCGTAATTTGTATGCTGGTAGCGGCAGTTAATGTAAGCGGGCTATAGTACTAGAGGCGGTTCAAGGATAGAGGCTAGGTTACCGGTAGCTCTAGTACTATAGCCTGCTTACATTAACTGAGGCTGCCAGCGGCAGTTAATGTAAGCGGGCTATAGTACTAGAGCTAGGTTACCGGGCACTCTGTATTTAAAACGATTACGTGTTACATCAAACAGTCACATACCTTACACCTTAGTAACTTTGGTGTAATATTTATAAAATTGGGATCTTAATTGGTCATCTTATATCGGCAATGGGTAGGACCTACGTGGCTCGCTCTGCAAAAATACACAAATATCTACGCAAAACAAAACTCAAATAAATACGCGCCAAGCTATGTGTGCTCTCATGTTTACAGAGGGAGCCAGAGTTATTCCCCCTGTACCATAGAGATCAGTAAGATGTACCATAGAGATCAGTAGATGTATAAATAGTAGTTTATTTATACATCTCTATGCCCTGTACCGTATTTGCATGTACAGTATGCACCGTATGTGACGTCCCCGTAGTATTTGCAGAGCGACTGGTATCAGCACAAGCACTTGTATCAGCACAGCAGACAGCACAGTACTGTCAGCAGTAACGACCAAGGATATAACCAAATGATATAATAATAATGTACTATGTAGCTCCTTGGTAACAACCAGGGGCGTAAATCTCGGGGGGATGCATCCCCCCCCCGTTCTTGAAGGAGGGGGGATGGCATGTACGAATATCCCCCTGATATTCAAAAAAAAAGAAAAAAAAGAAGGAAGAAGAAGAAAAAACAAGAAAAAAATGTGATTGTTTCAATTTCAGCATAATGCATGAGAAATGAGTTTTTTTTTAATGTATGTATAACTGTATATAGCCTACAGTGTTAATCATGGCATGCAAGACAGACTTTCAAGTGGGGCACGGAAGAAGGAGTGACTGCCAGAGGCACATAGTCTCTCAAACGCATAAGTGCTATGCGGGTGCAGTGGAATCAAGATTCAAGGTTTTTTTATTCGTGCTAAACGGATAACTCAGGAATCTACACCCAATTATATCAAGCTTCTTTGCATCAGATAGAGAATTGTCTGTCTTGACGCAGAAGTGAGATTTACGGATTATTTAATTGAACACAATGTGCCTTTGAGGGCGGCAGACCATGCAAATGAACTCTTCAAGAAAATGTTTCCAGACTCACAAATAGCCAAAAAGTATGGTTGCAAACATACAAAAACACGTGAAATTGTGAGAAATTGCCATTCTTACCTGTATTATTACTATAGTAACCTAACTGTGTACGCTCTCTGAAAAGTCATAAAAAGTGGTTTGAATCCTAACTTGTAGGGTTGAGTCTAGGGTTGAGTTAGTGTCATCAGAAATGAGAATATGGCCCACAGTATGCCTCAGATTGCAGGAAAATGGCTTAAATATTTCAAAATTTTCTGGGGGGGCCTGCCCCCAGACCCCCTAGCACTGGCATGCCTACGGCACGTGCCAAACGTAAGGTTGTCAAATTTGGCATGTGCGTGCATGTATGTATGCATGTATAAATGTATGTATGCATGTATAAATGTATGTACGTGTGTTTGACTGTTTGTGTGTGTGTGT